CAGATGTGCAACTAAGATGAGGATCATGATTGACTCCCATTTTGGTGGTCAGGAAGCTCAAACTATCTCTGGGCCTTCTTTCAGGCGGTCCTAGATAATGGCGCTCTTTGTTGCCCTGGGTTTAATCGGATCTCAAGTCTAACTCCTCTGCACCTACCACTGTGGGAGCGCTGTGATGAGATTCAGCGTACCTGGAGCATTGTCTTGCTTGCACTCTCTCACAGAGTTGATCACGGGCTCACAAAGTACGGTTTTTGAGGAAGAGCGGGGTCGGCGGTTCGCATTTCAAGGCTTCACCATACGGTGGCGGCGTTTCGCGGGAAATCAGGCTTTCCCAATCTATCGCAACTCCTGGAAGGAGTGTATGTCGTGACGCCACATCCTCACCGGCATTGCGTACTTCAACGCAAGTCTTCTTAGAGCTGGAGGGGGTGGACGTCCTAACACCAGGGTCTGGCATCAGTAAGAATCTAGAGCTGCCAGGCTGGCATCGTCTCGGAGGCTTCCAGCTGTCCCCGGAAAACTAATCAGGAAACGGGTACAGTCCATCAATACTGAGGTGGCAAACCACCCCAGGCTTAAAGGGCTGGCTATCCTTTCCCCGGCTCTGGCGGGCACGCCTTCACCTTCACCTACTATGACGGATCTCATATGCATCTGTCCTGCGCCACCAAAAGTTCCAAGGCCTTGCAAAGGTGTGTTTTATGACTAATGTATGACGTGGTCGCCAGCACAATACTAGGGACGACTGCCGCCGTACGCCCAAACAAGAAAAGATAGAGGAAGGCGCGTGGGTGTGTTAAGAGTATCTGAGATCTGTTGCCTGCTGGGATTTGGCGTTTCTTGCGACTTGCGAGTACCATGGCAAGCATGTGGAGTGTTGTCAAGGAATGAGCCAATACAATAACAAGTATATAGGAGATACGCCATTTTATGGTATCTTCCTCTAACTTTGAAGATTTTGCGGTAGATAACTGCATTCACCATTCATTGTGATTTGCCTTATCTTCCCCGGGTCAGGCTTACTACTATACCTCATCCATCATGTGATGAGGAGTTACATCCTGTCGCTCGTGTTGATCCTCGTAGAGATCTTCTTACGGGACTGCACTTCGCTTCGTCTGGTGTCTTTGGCCTTTGGGATCTTCCATATCCGGACTTTGCTCAGTTAATCGCGTGGAAAACTTGGACGAATCAACTTTTCTACATAGTATATCCTGTAAATAACAATTTTGGCGCTCGATTCCTGCCGATCATTATCGTGAAGCTTTACCACTGCCCTGCGTAAAGACTCACCGATGATTTCCATCGGCAAGTCTTATTGAAAGTCTTGTAGAACTGGATGATCGGTGCATACTAGGAAGTTTAGTAAAAGTCGACTAGGACAACGTTCTTCAAATTGCAGCGAACCAGATGTCGGGATGTGTAGCGCAGCTTCGTTGCCCACGATGATAGCGTCCTCATCACAATCCATGTCAAAACTGCACCTCGGACCTATACTGTCAACCGAAGGTTTTCTTTGTGATTCAGAAGGCCTCTGATGAGTGTAGATTTATATCTTACAGATGCTATTCTGCTCACTGTCCTGGCTTGTACTGTGTGACCCTGCCAAAGAAACCCTGCACCTCGAGCGCCCATCCTCTTAATCGTTGGATATGCTCATCAATTTCGCTACAGAACCTTGTCTTGTCTTCTTCCAACCTGCAAACACCTTATTAACGGCGCATTCAAATTCAACGTGGAAGATGCTTACTCAGTCCGAACATTCTTGACTACTGCCTCAACCTCGCAAAGCCTGCAGTCTACCTGCTTCTCCAAGGCACACATTCTTTCTTCAAGGCGGGCGATGGCTGGATCGCACCTTTCCTCGGTCACAGAATGGGCCGCAACGTTTTCTCTTTCGTAGACTCCTGTCTGTGACGCGTCATGGTTCGGAGTTTGAGTCGAGAATCCTTGCTCAAGGGTTGGATCGACAAACAATGGATCTGACCATTCCACGCCGGAGAGAGTCGCGGGGTCGAACCAATTGGCAATTTGGTCGTTAGGCAGCCACTGGCCATCCAGTTGACTGTCGTATGAGGACCATTGGAACGGATTATCTGAGTCGAAGTAATACGAATCCTGGAGCGCCACAGTGATTTCGTCTTCAGTAGGGGGATTTGACGCATGAACCATGATTCTGTCTTTAATTCAATGCCAATACTGTTGATCTCGAGCGGCAGTCTTGCACGGGCTATTTTCATGCAAGCCAGCCGCCGACAACTTATATGAGATGTCATAACCTGCCTTTTTGTTTTGGAAGGAAAACTAGAAACCAAAACAAGGCTTGTCAATCATAACTACCAGGAGCCTAATTCTGGAACAAGGCGCAGGCTGTGGGAGACCTCAAGCCGGCCCGCAAGACCTACTTTGGGACTTTGGTATCGCAGCTAGGGCTCTGCACATAGCCACACCTGGAATTCAGTAACCTCATTTTCCAAAAACAATGTCATACCGCCAACCTTCCCAACAATGTCATAAAAATAAACTCCTGGGGTCTTGTGGAGGGTTATATGGCAGGCTGCAACCAGATACTGTGGCTCAAGCTAGCCGGCATTGATGGGAGATAGAAGTCCTGAAAGTGCATACTCATTTCGAGTACGAGTAAAGGAGAGATAGATCTACGGGAGATCATGTAGCCAAAATTGAAATTGGCTTCAAGTGTGCTGTATGAACAAGGCAAAGTTACCCCATGCCTCCCTTCCGAGTGCGGTCCCGAAAGGAGGGATTAATTCCAGGGCAGTGCGCTGTTCTCGGCTTTTCGAATTAATAACCCCAAAATAGCACGCTTCCGTTGTGCATCAGACCTAGAGCCCATACCACCACTCTGCCGGGACGGGAATCTATCATAGGGCTTTGGCAGCGCCTCTCCCAAACAGCCCCTGAGCCTCTCCAGAACCAAATCATTTTACCATGTGATTACAAACTTATGTTTTTCATACAGCACCTCCGTGCAGTACAGTACAGTACAATTCAGTATAGTACAGTATCAGCATTTGTTTTTCCTGCAATCAACCCTTGAATACGGTTACTGTACGGACCCGCAATCTCGGCAGAAACGAATTTCGTTAGATCCGTCACTCACGACAATGTGTAACTCAGGATTTCGAATCAACGGTCAGAGAACATACGAGCAGGCCTGTTCAACTAGACCACCAATGAAAACGCGTATCGTAAAATTTAGCAAATGTGGGTGCTTCGTTGCATGATTGGTCGGACCAAAGGACTCGCTCAATTGGAGGGTCTTGCCTTAACATTTCAACTTTTGGAGCTCCTACGCCACACTTCCGCCCATGCATTGCCTTTCCACTAGCTGTCCCATCAGCAAATGAATCGGATTCAAACAGCTGCTACGCTGCAGCCATTGATCGCCTGCCTGATCCTCATTGGCCCGATCAGATTGGGACGCATTATAGACTGGCGGTAAGGAGTTGTATGAAATGAAATCCAGTCGGTGGTCAATGTGGGAATACTGGAAGTCGCCGTAGATCCTTTCGACGTTACTTTCTCTGGCTCGACCTCTTGCACATAATGAAGATTTCGCCAGCACTGCAGAGATCTCGGTTGCCAGGAGATTCGCTCCGTTGTGCATTGACTTTCGCGCTGCACGCACAACCAATCATGTTGTAGTGGGGTCACCAAGGCTCCTTGAAACGCTTGGTTCTAATGTAGCTGTGCCGCTTTTCCCGCAATGTTTCTACCGAGACTGATGGGTTTACTGCACAAACGTGTCACACTTTGCAATTTCCTTGATTTCACACTGAAAAGTCATTGACTTCTAGAACAAATACTGTAGTAGGCTTAGGTTCGGAACATGTCTTTCATGGCCCCAGTCCTGGGCCTGGCCACAGAGCAGGGGGCTCGTTTGGACTCTTGGCTTCTAAGCGGCACGCTGGCCAATCACGCGAGATCATGCCGCTGACTTGCTGGTAGTGCAGCAGTGGGCCCTTACTACGGCGTGGCGGATTGACCTCCTTTTGAGCCGTCAACGAATTAAGGCTGTTAGTCTCCGCGCTCATCGTCGGATAGCACTCCGCTTGCCACAGCGATTGCTTAGTCCAGTTCAATCCGCGATTGGACGGAATTATGGGCAACAGAATGCAGCCACTAAATGTCACCCACGAAGTATTTGCGACGGTTGCTTTTAATTAACCTCGAAAAGGCAGAGGCGTTTCTCAGGCAGGACCATCCAATTGAATTACAGCCTTGCTCTGGCCAACCATATCATAA